TGAAATCTGTGGAGCATGAGCTTCTGGAGTTTTCCAGCTAGTTAGGGGGCTACTAAGCGACTCCTTTCCTCTCTTCTTTCCCGACCCCCTCTCCCCCAGTGCTGGACAACAAGAAGCAACTGCACCTTTCATCTCTCAAGCCAACCAGCACAGGCCCAAAGCCGCCACCACACCACCACTTTAATTCCAGCGTGCCAGGAGAGGTAAAGCCACCGAGGAGCCAGAATGCCTCAGAAAGCTCTCTCATCCTGCCCAGCCTGTCCAAAGATGATTCTGGAAACAGATTCTGAGGTCTGATTCCTCTGCCTGGCAACTTTAGCTAATACTTTCTAATGAGGATGGGTTGAGTTGGGGACACCCATACTTGGAGATGATTTTGGAAAGGATTTTATAAGGACAGAGAAATCCTAATTTTTACAAATTAATGTGAACTGCCAGAGTGACAGTGTTGGCAACAACAAAGTTGGCAAGACTTGTTTTTGTACAAAGAGTCATCCCACTTGGTGCATAATAAAGAATATCTACATATTCTCTAGACCCCCTTCAAGGAATTTTTTTAAACTGACCAAGATTTCCACCAAGCAACCCAGAGGATGCCCCTGGTCTCAAAAATAAAGGCAACCATTGGATGCTGTTCAGCTATAGGGAAATGTGTCAGGACAAAAAGGCCATTTTAGGGAAGGTAGACTTTATAAATTGTTGCGGACCGTGTAAGACTGGTCAGAGGTTCAAGGCCCTATAGGCTCGAGTGTAACAAATGAAGCCACTTGACAGTTAATAGCAGATTGTTTTTCATCAAATTGTTTAGTCATATTTATTTAATTCCAAACATGAGCCCTGGATGTCCACAGAGAAATGCAATATTCCCCTAAGTTTCTAAGGTCAAGATTTTCCCCCTAGAACCAAGGCAGTAAAACTTCCTCAGAGGACGAACAAGGACAGGTTTACTGGGATTAAGCAGGGAGGCTCTGGAGAGGAACTGCCCGGGGTATATTCACTTGGGGTGGAGTGGTAAATTCTGGGAATACGGGATTAAGGACAATGGGGGCAACGCCCTCGGACCACCCTGGGTTCAATCAGTTTGATCCAAGTGAAGGTTAAACCCAGTAAGGAAGAAAGGAATATTGGTTTAAGTAAGGTTTACTGGCTTAATTTATTTTAAGGATTGTCTTGTCTGAATAATACCATTCTTCTGAAAAGATCCCTCCCTGAAAGAGAGGAAATAAGAGATGGACGCAGACTTAAGTCTGAGAGGGCATTAGTGCTTGCGGGGCATTATTGCTTGCAGGGTATGAAGAGGCTGTCTGCCGGTTTTGCATCTACTCTGGTCTCCGAGTGTTTCTTTTCTGTCTCGCCTCTCCAGATATCCCACCTAGAGTTAGTCCGAGAAGGGAAAATGTCAGCCACTGAGCATTCTGTCTGGCAGCTTGCATCAAGCCCGGGTGTCTGTCTTCTTTGTATCTGTTTTCTCTCTCTCTGTCTCTCTCTCACCATCGTCACCGGACACCCCATCTTCGGGTCCTCACCCCCTTGCCGAGGCCAGACCCCAGCAATAAATAACTCAGTTCTATTTTTAAAAAGATATAAATACAGCTATACCACAATGTCTCCAGGAAAACTATTTTATCTTACAGGATGAAACAAGACATAATGCCTCAAACAAATGACCAAAATACAGTCAGAAAACATCATGAGAGAAATGTAAATGGATTAAACATACTAGTTAAGAGACATAGAGCAGAATGGATAAGAAACAGGATCCTATCTACAAAAGACATTTCAAAAAGTTGGAGGCAGCCTAAAAGCCCTCATAAGAAGAATGGTTAAACAAACTTTGGTACAGACACACAATGGAATACTCCAAAACACTGAAGAAGAAGAATAAATCTGTGAAACACCTCACACCATGGTTGAACCCGGAGGACACCAGGCTGAGTGAAATTAGTCATTCACAGGTGAACAAATATTGTATGAGAACAATGTTCTTTTATGTTTAAGGAGGGGAATAATTCACGGGCTAAAGGGTATACACATGTTAACATGGGTAACAGGGCAGGCAATATACATGAAGAGGGAGGTTAGCAGAGGAAAGATGAAGGTACTGGAGATAAAGGGAGGAATACAATAATTAAAGTGAATAGATGTAAATACTGTTAACTGTTGGTACATGGAGGGGATTGCAACCATGTAATTAAGCAAAGTCTATAATTTGTTGAATGTAAAACTGATGATCTGCTTTGTAAACCTGCACTCAACTCATAAAAAAATGTAGAAAGAAAAGAAAAGAAAAAAAAAGATGGTGGACTAGACAGATGTGCTACTTGGACCCACTATGACAATGATATGAGAGACCAAATGAAATAGACACAGATGAAAATCCTGAAGCCCTGAACTTTGGAGGAAAGATTAGAGAAGTGGATTGAGTGCTTGCTGGGAGAAGAAGCTGAGCAAGGGTAAGAGAAGGAGACTGACTGGTGGCCAGAGGCAGTACAACCATGTTGAACTCTTGTGAGCAGCTTTGATGACAGAAGGTGGCCTTGCAGAGCATTTTCATACAGATGATGAAACACAACTCTTATGACTAGAGAGAGAGAGAGAGAGAGTCCTGGTTTGGTGCTGTGGGTTAATGTGCCAGACTGCAAAACTGTTTGAACTGCAAAGTCGGTGGTTCAAGCTCACCAGCTGCTCCTCGGAAACCCTATACAGGGTCGCTATGGGTCAGAACCAACTCGACGGCACTTCACAACAATAACATATATATGAGGTTCTGGTGTGGTGTTGCAGGATAATACACCAGCCTGCAAAGTCAGTTTGAACTGCAACATTGGCAGTTCAAACCCACCAGCTGCTCTTCAGAAACGCTATAAAGTGTTGCTATAGGTTAGAACCGACTTGACAGGACTTAACAACTGTATATATATACAGCCTCAGAAATCCTGTACAGAGTTGCTATGAGTCAGAACTGACTGCACAGTACATAACAACAACAACATATATATATTCATAGGACCCTGTACAGGGTTTCTGAGGCTGTAAATCTTTATGGGAGCAGAAAGCCTCATCTTTCTCCTGAAGAATATCTGCTAGTTTCGAACTGTTGACCCT